GATCTAGAAAAACCGAAGTGAACGGAGAAGTTCATGGAGGTAGGCCTAGTCCCACTGGGTCTGTAGTGCCAAGGGAAAAACACGACAGCGTGAGTAGCTGAAGCTATAGGGCTAGGGGTTCGATTAGTAGGATTTAATAAATGAACTGGAAAGGACGTAGAAGGAAATGTTCATAGCCGTTTCAATGTACTGTGCCGATATTTGCTTGTAACTCCTGTGCTTACTTAATTAAGCACCACGCCATTAAGACTCATGGGGTAGTGGAGGTATAGCTCCACCATTCTTGACCTCGGCATAAGGAAAACCCCGGAAAATCTCAGTCATAATAATAGATTTCTCTGTCGAGATTAGAACCAGGTACCAGTTCGAGTCGTTATTGTCTGTTCTAACTTGTCCAGTTGACCGATTATTGAATCCTGACATGACTGCCCACGCACACCCATGCTCACACAGGAGCACACGTGTGCACTGTGATGTACAGTTTATTAACCGATTTTAAACAACTATCCTTTGTGAGACTGTGTCATATTGATGTCTTGTGATGTGATAGTCCTGCTGTGACGTTCCTGCTATCCTGTGCCATGCTTTCACGCTAATTTGATGGCTAATAACGGAATTTCATCCCGCGCTCTGTCGCCTTGTGGGTAATAAACCTGTATTATTGTGCTCCAGAAATATGGTTACCGCCCCAATCGAAACACAGTGAGGAAAATGAAGAATAGTCACTCATTCTTCTTATTGCAGACTAGAAGTTGAATCTTTGGAGAGAAAGTCGGATAATGATCACAGCCTACGTATCTTTATAGTGCAATAAGATTTGACATCTCTTTCATTTCATATTTGTTAGAGGCAAAAAGGGCGTTCTATATTCCGTACATCTAATTCAGAGACCCGAGTTTCATTGTAAAGAAGTGATTCTACGCACGTTATGGGAAAAGTGTCTAATAATAATATCAAGTCGGAAAATTTTGTTCTTGTAATAATATCCTTATACTTACGACGGACTGGGAGGCGCCATCGCTCAAGCGGTTAATCGCTGGCTTCCCACCGCGGCGGCCAGGGTTCGATCCCGGGGTCTGGTCAAGTGGGATTTGTGGTGGACAAAGTGGCGCTGGAGGGGGTTTTCTCCGAGTTCTTCGGTTTCCCCTGCCAATCTTCATTCCACAAAATTCTCCATCATCATAATCACCCGGGGCAGGTTACAATAGGCCAATCAGTGGCCGCCGTGCCGAGTGCACCCAGTTGAACTCCACCCCTCACTAAACGAATTAAAAGAAAATTATGATGGACTGGATAGGGGTCTAGTTTGAATCCAGGTTGGTACACCGAATATGCTTAATGAGGCCTTTCGTTGTTTTTCTCGATATAATCAATGAAATATTTCATTATAAACTTAACGGGGCCGCTTCGTTTCACAGCCTTTCCAATTAATTATTATTCACTCTATCGAAGCTCTATAATACGAGTTACCGAAAGTGTAGTTAAATAAATTATAAATATAATTCCAGCCCAATGTGTACAACTCAGATTGATTCACTTC